GAGTGCACCACCGGGCTGGCCCCAGCATGTAATATTTTTAAATAGAGGAAGGAGAGACCTGCTGGATACTGATTTAAGTATACACAGTTCCTAAAGGAATGTGGCTTGGTTGAGGGGAAGCAAGAACCTCCCTCCTAACTGCTGATAGGAGAAACCTTCTATTCTGTGGCCCTTGATAATAATCCTTGAAAGAGGATAGACTCAAATTTTTCTCTGAATTGTGTCCCTGCCACCCTAGGTGGGTTTTTCTTTCAAAGGGCGACAGTAATGAAGAGCCCAAAAAGACATGGCCATCTTCCTGTAGCATCACTGAGTTGTGAGACACCATATATTTTCTGATTCTACAATCTCCTGCACAAGAGTAACCCAGTCATTCTTGGGACAGGAGCCAATGTGAGCTATATTTAAGAATTATTTTTGCAGTGTCGTGAGCCTTTCTGAGTGGGATCCAAATCACCACTTGCCTTACACAGAGACTCTCTCAGCTTCAGTAGAGGTCCAAGGTCAGCTGAGCCACTAGGACTGGAACCGGTACTGTCTAGATTCTCTGCATATTGGCCAGAAGTGGAGGCCATTTTTCCTTCCTCCTCCAACAACCCTGACATAGAACAATCCAGCTTCAGTAGAGGTCCAAGGTCAGCTGAGCCACTAGGACTGGAACCAGTACTGTCTAGATTCTCTGCACATTGGCCAGAAGTGGAGGCCATTTTTCCTTCCTCCTCCAACAACCCTGACATAGAACAATCCCATGAAGACTAGCTGGTGTGCTGCTGGTGAGGGCATAGACTGTTGGGTGAGTAGTCACCTGTTCAAATAGATCAGGAGAATATATCATCCTCTCGCTTTCTTGGTTCCTAAGATTGGCAGTGATTCCTGATATTGGAAGAGACATTTCCGAAGTACCTCCTTGAGATCATTCCAGCATTGGGAATCGTAGAGGCAGGTAGAAGAGGGGCCCCGGTACTTTTCCTGTGTGTGCACTGTGACCCTCAGATATTACATCTAACAATTACCTATTGATGTCATAGGCTAGGAAATGCCAGTAATTTGGGGGTAAACCTTATAGTCCTTGGGAAATTAGTCTTCATCTAACTGATATTCAACAGTAGGCTTGGGATCACTGACATTTACCTTAGGCTTCACTTCTTGGATTACTTTATTAGTTTTCTAGGGCCTCTGTAACAAAGTACCACAAACCATGTATCCTAAAGCAACAGAAATTTATTGTATCACAGTTCTGGAGGCCTGAAATCAAGGTGTCAGCAGGGCCATGCTCCCTCTGAAGGCTGTAGGAAGAATTATTCCTTGCCTCCTCCTATTTTCTGGTGGTTTCTGGGAGTGTTCATTGGTTTGTAGACGTACCTTGGTTTGTGGACATATCACTTCAGTTTCTGCCTCCATTGTCACATGGTCTTCTTCCCTGTGTATCTCTTTATCTCTCTGCTTCTTCTCCTCTTATAAGGACATTGGTCATGTTGGAATTAAGGCCTACCCTAATCTGGCATCATCTCATCTTAACTAATTACATCTGCAAAGACCCTATTTCCAAATAATGTCCCATTCTGAAGTTCCAGGTGGACTGAATTTTTGTAGGACACTATTCAGCCCACTATAATTGCCTTTAAAACACTTCATTTATAGCTTCTCTGTTTTTTCTCACATTTCTTTCTGAACAGATATCAGCGCTGCCACTCCTGCTGCTTTAGCTGCATTGCCCAGCAGCCATTCAGGAGCCAGATCTGCCCAGCCCTTCTGTCCTCTGAGTGGCACTACCCAGTTGAGCAGGACACCAGAACCTGGGTACCATGACAGCAGTGGCCCATGGGAAGAGATGAGGCCTCAGAAAATGAATGCATCCGGGGACCTCTCCTCCTTATCATCCTTGTTCTGGACCGACTCCAAATCCTCTGGTAAAACAGAAAGGGGCAGTTGGTGAAATAGAGCCCATTGACAGAAACAACTCATTACTTTTCTGGTGAGAGGATTTTTATTCCTCTGTTAGAACTTGGCTCACAGAAGTGAGTGAGAAGATGAAGGGCTGATCCAATGGGTCAGCCAGAGAATGAGATGCCAGCTCAGTGCTAGTTCTTTACAAGTACCTTCTCCTGTCCCCACCACCCAGGAACTCACTCTGGGCAGGAGACTAAAGGAAGTCAGGGTCATTCTGAGGCAATTTACAGAGAGGATGTGTTACCTCACATTCACATGCTCCCTTCTCTCTGTGCTACAACCTCTTAGGCCTAGATTTAGACTGTTCTAGAATGCCTGACTGTTCAGACTTCCATGGGGAAGGTCTTCCTTAGGTCAAGATCTACTGCAGGATGGAAAATTATTTCTGCAGAGTCACCCACCCTTACACACTCACACACATGCACGTGTGCATGCATGTGTGCACACCACAAGCCAATCCCACCCTCTTAAACTTTGCTTTTTGATTTGGAGTCAGGCGTTCTGGCACCCAGTGGCAGAGGACTGGCTTTTGAAGCAGCTCATTTTCTGCAACCCAGGAAGTATAACAATAAGACAGATGAAATCCTCAGAGAAAAACCTTACCCTAAGCAAAATATTCTAGTGAATGAAACCTATTCTTGGCCTCCTTCTCACCTTTGTGCATCTTTTTTCTTCCTTGGAGATTATTCCATTCTCTGTGGTTTCAGCTTCAGGTCTTGACACCTCCCTAGGCTCTTCTATGTTCCTCTTTGTCAAATTGGTTAAAGGAAAAGATTCAATATCGGGCATTATTCACAGCCTGATTTAATTTCACATGTATTTACTTTAGTCTTTCTCTCTATGAGTAGGAGAATATTAAAAGTTGTTCAAGTCAGGGGTCATCAGGGAGGAGAGGTATGAGGTAGAGAAGGAAGCCCTCTGAATTATTACTAGCCATGTGGACCAACTTACCCATTGCTAGGCCAGTCCTATCTAGAGGCCTTTAGTAGTGTCTCACTCCTGTTTTCCAGCCCACTCCCATCTCCCTTAGATATACTCAGCTCTGTCTGGGAGGAAGCCCTGTGGAGTTTCCTTACAGGGCACCATGTTGTGATGGAAAGCCCAGGAGCTCTTTAAATAAAGTTGCCTGGTGCTTCCTGGATGCCCAGGGAAGAGGAGGAAGTTGACAGAAGAGTAGATATGGGCAGGAATCTTGCAGAGAGACCACGGGCAGGCCCAACACCTGCCCAGGAGTGTTCAGGCTTCCCTATCTCCTCCCTCTCCCATGACATGGTGGTATGCTACAGGGGCCAACCTGCTGGAAAAGAATCTTATTGAGATCCAGAAGCTATGTCAGCGCCTGCAGGAGTCTGTCTGCATCAATGACCGTCTGAGGGAGAGGCTGGAACACATGCTCAGCAAGGCTGGCCAAGGAAAAAGTAGGGAAGGCTGAAATTTTCTATTCCTGTTCATATCTAGGGAGCCTCAAGAGGACATACAGATTATTGGGGCAGAGTTTCAGTTTTAAAGCACACTAGTGTGCCTTATTACACTAGCTCCTTACAATAGCCCAGATAGGGAAGCAAGGAGAATACTACTGTCCCCACTTTATAAATGAAGAAACTGCGTGGCCTGCCTCAAGCAGGGCTAGGTCTCATTCTCAGGGCTGTCTAACATGACGCCCATTCTTGTAACTCCTTATACCACTAGTGCTATTCTTGGGCTGTGGCCTGACTGGCAAGTTGTAGAACCAAGGTTTCCATGGTGCCCACTTCAGCAGAGGGAGGGCCACATGCCATTACCACATGCCTTGGATACCACCTGCCTCTTACTTTATATGAATGACCCTTATTCCCACACTCTTCACCCTGGATGCTCTCACTTGGAGGCCAGTTTTTCCACACCCCTTATCCCTTATCAAGCCTCAAAGAATGATGACCAGGGCCCCTACAGCATCACAATAGCAGCCAATTAGAGGGGAAGACCCTGATCCACAACAGTAGCCACTGCATGTGAGAGTGTACAGTCCACTGTGGTGTGCCCAGCAAAAATCATGCCTCAGCCATATCACACTGTTGTCCCAGTGCCTGACGCTGCTTGTCTGGGGCTGAAACTTTGGTGGGTTCAGGAAAGTATATCTTTGAAAGCATCTGTTACCCAAATGTGTGACTTGTCTGGATCGTTTTATTCCCTTTACAGTATCCACCTCTGTCTTCCATGGGTAGGACCAGGAGTCCATACCTTAGCTCTGCAACAAGAAGAGTGCCTCGGGAAAGCAAACTAGAGTTTCAGACTTACAGAGGGCAAAATCCAAGCTGAGGTCACTTTCCATATTTCTTCCTTTCCACAGCAATACCCAGTAGCAGAAGCAAAGAGCAGAGGTAGAGAGTACAAAAATTGCCCAGATCCATACAGCCCAAAGCTCAAATAGTGTTCTCAATCTATATAAGGCTGCTTCTTATAAGATCCCACTTACATGTTCCCATACTACTGACTCCAGGAGTCAATAGTTCTGGGAAATCCACATTTCATGTATAAGTCCCTTCCTCCGTCTTTACAGACAATGAAAAAGTCACTGGCTGTCAACTAGATATCAGTTTGGAGTCTCTTTCCTTTCCTTTCCTGCTTCTAGCTGAGTGTGGACCAGAAGGGGAAGGAATATCAGTTTTTGTTTGGAAAGGTCAGTGAAGAGACTTTCCTAAGGCCCTCCAGACTTCATTGCAGCTCTGTCTCTCCCTCCCTAGGTACTGCACAGTTAGCCCCAGATGTCTCCCTCATAGCCCCTCATTCATACACCCAGAGTCACTCTTCTGGCTCTGGTCAGGACATCCTGTGATATGACACCTGGAGGGTCTAGAAGAATGTTCTCCGGAACTGTTCCAGCCCTACCTATCCAACAGCATTTTGGGTTTGGATTTGGAGGCATCAGCCATTACCTTTAAATGAATGGACCAAATTAATAAATTATTATTTAAAATTATTGTTTACATATATTTATTGAATGCCTATAAAGAGTAAAATTTGTGTAGAAAAGAATAAAACCCAGAATGGTCTGAAATTTATGGGAAAGGTTAAAAGAAAAATGGGTGTTCTCTATTAGCTGTTTCAGAAGACTAGAATAGAAAGGCGACTACTGGGGGAAGGTAAGAAATATTAATCGACAATGGGGCTGTAGAACTCCTTGACTCCATTACATGCTTGGGAAGAACAGGAAAACCATCACATGTGAAAAGATAATATGATAAAACCTGAATGTTTTAAAGTGAGGGCAATTTACCAAACTCAGGTGAGCTCTATTCAAGAGAATGACCCAACCTGCTTGTCAATGTGGATAAACATTGAGAAGTTATAAAGATCATAGAAGGTGCCTGAAACTTGGAAAGTAGCAATTGTCAAAATTTCAAAATGATAAATGTCCTATATTTTAATATCTTTAGAGAGTAAATTTTATTTTGATCTTTTGCAAACTAAAAATAGATTGATATTAGGCAGTAGGTAGGTAAGCACCTAAAAAATATGGGCACTAATAACCATAGTGGTTCACTAAGAGAAAGCTAAGCCACATCAAGTTAGAAAGTCAAAAGAATTGCCTGGAGAGCTGTGCCAAGGGTAAAAACTAGGTCCACGTGCTCTTCATTGGTCATGATATAACTTGGTTTTAAGAGTATTTCTGGTTGGAAACTTTTTTCTCAGAGACATAGCTTAGCTAGAGTTTTCAGAGGATGATAAAAAAAATATTTTATGAAGAAAATTTACCTAAGGAAAAAAAAGAAAATTAATACAGTATCAAATATTTGAATGTCTGCCATATGGAATTGAAACTATACCTTGTCTATGAAGTTAGAGATCAGAATGAAGACCAATGGGTAAAAGTGGCAGGAAGGCCGAGGTGGCCTTGATGAAGAGAGCAATTTCTCCCAACTGGATCTAATGACAGAGTAGTATGCCTTATGTAGAGAGCTCCCTATTTGTCCTTGGAAGTGTTCAAGGCCAGAGCAGATGTCTCCTCATGGGGAATATCTTATTGGGAATTCCTGAAAGGGGAGTGTAGGGAAAATGAAATAAATGGTCAAGCCCCTTCAGCTGTTGGGAATCTTGCCGAGCATGACGTAGCCTGTTTAATGTAAATATGTTAATTGCACACATGAGCCCGCGTGTTCCTTGGTTATTTGATGTAATACCTCGGGAAGGCCACCAGGTGGCGGCAGCCGCCGCTGCCACCGCTACCACCGGGGGCTGAGCTCGTATCTGAATAAAGCCTATCAACTTTACCCACGGCTCCCAGGATCTTTTCCAATTGTCTAGTTCGCGACCTGCACATGAGGGGTCTGCGACCCAGTCTGCATAGGACGGGTTTTAAGGGTCTGTGACCCAGCCCAACAATAGGTTTGAAGGGTCTGTGAGCCCAACGGGAGCTTGCTGAACTAAATACCTTAGGAAAAATCCAACTGCAGGTTTTCTATGATTCATTAGTCAATATTCATAGCTTGGTCTTTTAAACAAAGAGTTTTATTGCATAGTTTTTATATGCTTGTCTTCTTTGGATGCTACATTTTTTCAATGGATCATCACAAAGGTGCCCACAACACCTCCGCATCTCCTGCTAATATACCTGGCACATCCCCTGATGCCTGGACACTAAGCTCAGCTTTCTGTAATTCAGACACCGCTCTTATTTCACTGAACTCAGAGACATACAAGTCATCCCAGGGGACATTATGTGGCTGTAGTGGGCCGGCTCCACCTCACATACCAATAGTGGTCCTTCCCTCTACCTTTGCCCTAGATCTTAATGTCAGTGTGCTTGTGACTGGACTCACCTTCCAGCAATGGCCCTGCAGTGTTGAGAAATTGCCCCTATCGTCTATCCTGCTTCCCAGCCTGGGCTCGTTAGAGCTCTTCGATGAGGATGAATTCCTGGGAAGACTGCTATCCTCTCAATCCCAGCTTCAAGAGCTCAAACTGAAGGTAGAGCCAAAGAAGACAGAGTGACAGTAGCTTTTATAGAACTAGAAGGAGAAGCAACAGGAAAATTTGTATTTTCAGGAGGAATGTCTATCCTTCCAGATAAGGGCTTCAAATGAAACACCCCATTTCATGAGGAAAGTGACTAGGGTAAGACAGGGGTGCCTACATTTACAGGCTCTGATATATTTGATTATAGAATATAGCTTCAGTCCTCACTAGATGGGTTATGCAATATAAAGGCTGTGCTCTATATTATGTTCCTAAAAGAATAACAAATTCTGACATAAACACCTGGCCCCAAAGTTTCAAATAAGGTATCACGTGGGCCTTTACATGAACTCACAGCTGCTTGTCCCCACCATCTGCACTAGGTTCTGTCTTTGCTATTGTATTGCTTAGGGCTCAGATCTTTCAAACACATTGTACAGACTGGGTCACCAGACCCCTCACATGCAGGTCCACGCTAGGTAATTGGGAAAGATCCCCGGAACTGTCGGCAGATGACCCCAGCTCAGTCCTCAGCAATGGCAGCAGAAGATTACAGGTCCAGCAGCTTACATGTCTAGCGGAGGCGGCAGCCTCTCGGAGGGTCCTGGAGGCCTTGGCAGCAACAGCTGGTGGCAGTGGTGGGTGCCAGGGATCAGAGCCACTCGTCCTTTATACTTAAGTCCATAACCCAGGACACCTGGGTGTACATGCACAATTACATTAGACAATAACCAAGGAACACCTGGGTGCACGTGCATATTTACATCAAATGCTCAGCAAGATTCTGAACATCTGTGGGATCTCGACCATTTTCCTATATTTTCCCAGCAGCTACTATTTACTGTTTATTTTTTGGTTTGGGCAAACAATTTAGGCTCTCAAGTACTCAAGCCAGGTTCAAATTACTCATCTGTGAAACTATAATAATAAAATATACCTCATATGTTTGTTGGGAGCATTGAGATAGTTTACAGAGTGCCAGGCAACATAGGAATCACTGAATTAATAATAGCAATACATATTAAATATATTTAGTATGTATTTCTTGTGTTTAGGGGTGCTTTAAAAATGTACAAAACATTATTTCATCTGATGAACATAGGATTTTTGCATTTTCCAAACCTTGTCGACTCAGTCTTCCTTGCTTTCTCAGGACATGCTTAGCTCTTCTCTCAGTAATCCTTCTCCATCTAATCTCCCTTATTTTCAAAAAGAATGTAGATAGTGCCCTCAGCAACCCAATCTTCTTACTTATTTAACTTCTAATTAAAAAAAAAAAAATGAAGCGGTGTTTGGTTATGTCTTCCTTTCCCTCCATTCAGTCTTTCTGGTCTCCTTGATTTCCACCTTATGAGCCAGCACTTGTCTCAATCACTGTTGGCATGCTACCCTACCATGTGCCCTGAGCAAGAAACCATACCATATTTATCAAAAAAGGATATTTTAAATCACGTTGCTGTCAACAAGATGGTTTCTCTCATGAGATCAGCATACAACTGCTCCTGCCTTCAAGCCCAGGCACAGAAGTAATCACACCTGTGGTTCTTGGACCTTATTGCCACCTGTAGTTCATTTACTATCATTGTTCTTTTTTCTATTCCCCATAATTGCCAATAGCTAATACTTTTGTGTGATCTTAACATCTGTTCTGGGTTTGACTGCGACAGCCATGAGAATTTGCCCTGCAGACCTAATACATGGAGCTTAATTGACTAAGGTCCCCAGCTGCTACGATTTAAAACCCATCTCTGAGGCCACACCTCCCACGGGCTGCTCCCTGCCAACAGCTGAGTGCAGTGGGGATACTAAGGCAGACCCATTCCTGGGAAACTTGGGACTCTGTTGGCTATGTTTGCCTGACTGGCTCCACAGTGACTCCTCCAAAGCAGGCAGTGTTGGACACTTCCACTTAACTTTGTCTCCCTCTCTTCTTCACTCAGAGTCAAATTTGCTTCGTGGCCTGAAGGCTCTTCCATCCTTCCTAAATACCTTCTTATTTCCTTTCACATAGGCATTTCCCCTAATGAAGTCCTTGCATATTTAATTCTGCTTGGCATTAGCTTCTTGGAGGATCTGGAATAACATAGCTACCATCCTGCCAGCCCCTCCCATCTTATCTGTTGTGTGCACTTTGAATTCTGCTTGGTTCCAGAAATAACTGTCCTGATATTTTTCCTCTCTTCACACCTCA